CAGAAACCTCCAAACTCCAGACCCGCTGGACGACACTCGGCCTGACGGTGGGAGAACGCTCCAACTCTGATCATTTCCAGAATCATTCAGGGTTTGACGTGTTTACTGACCGTTGTTTCATTGTTTTCCTCATCAGGTGGTTTTTCCATCCTGGCTCTTGTCATCCCGCTTGTGATCATCTTACTGTTCATCGTTGTCGGTGTCGTTGCATATTTCTTAAGGAGAAAAGTTCAAAAAAAGAATGTAAGGAAGAAAAACATCAACGCACGCCTTCCAGATGTTTCCGAGGGACACCTGATTAATTAACAAACTTGTCCGTCCAGCTTTCAGACAAAGACGCCGCTCAGAAAGAACCGCTTGGACCCTAGGTGCCTTGCTCAGGAGCTGTTGGTGCGAATGGAGACTATCGGGGATTTAACTCTGCACGACGTTTCTGGTCCATCTGGAGATTCGATCCAGCAGCCACAAGGAGGGGCAGTGACAGAACGTGAGTCTGATCCGAACTCTGACTCGGCAGATGCAAAAAGAATCGTTTTAGTTCCACATTTCGTTTCTTTTTGCACCCGACGAGCCTCTTTTTTTTTTTTTTTAAACTTCCTTCTGCGTCTCAGTGGAGCTGTTCTGGTATTCTGCCAGCTCATCAACAGCAGAGTCACGTGGACGAGTTATTTGCCTTCCGAGTTAGACTCCAAATTTGCCTAACTTGACTTTGGAAGTCAAATGTTTCTGTCTGCATGCAGACGTTGGTGGAGTTTGACCTCGTGAAGCTTCAGTCGGTTTAAAAGACGTCTCGTATAAAAAAGTTTTTTAAAAGAGCCCAAAAAAAAAATCCACCATCTGCACTCTTCAGATTCTGTAAAAACCAAAAAGTTCTGCACTCGTCTGCGAAACCGTGAACCCATCAGTGATGCATGACAGGGTTTCAGAGACTTTTTATTGAAGTGTTTTTGCAGAGCAGAGAGGAGACGAATGTAAATGAGATTCAAATCAGTGGTAAAATGTCTTTTGCATGTGGAACCTTATTTCCTGGCGTCGGTAAAACCCGTAAACACTTTGGGAAAACGTCCAGTCGCCTCTAATTTTAGTGCATCTCTTCACTCTCATGGTGTGAGGAAATCTAAATAGAGAGTCTGAGTTTGGCCCGTCATGGAGCATGTATTTGCATGTCCAGCGAGAACTCTTTCGGCTGTAGAAACCACTGACACTGGTCTGATCTTCATAATGTCGAAGTGCTGCTCCAGAACATTAAAATAAATTTAAAAACCTGTGTGAAGTTCCTTTTGCACAAACTGTAGCTGAGCAGAGACTCACTTTGTGTTTCCTTTGTCCACCTGAAGCTCCTGGCCGTGGCTGCTGTGAGGAATCTGATCCACTGATGGACTTTATTTCTCAACGTCCTGCAGTGAAAGTTTGAAGAGGAAATTAGAAGAAGATTCATTTCTGCGAGACCCAAAGAGTCCACTAGTAGAGATCTGCTTCGGTTCGATCTTTCAGAACCGGAATCGCTCTTTCGGTTTTGGNGTTGTAAGTTAGCCGTCAGCTGAAATTTAATTTACACTTTTGAAAATGAACTGAGCCGAATTCGCTATCGGCTCTTCTTCTTTGCTGTGTTACGTTTAAAGTGATGTGAACTGTGAAGGAATTGCTTCGACACAGAAAACAGCTTAAAACGAGCTAATTCTCAGGCAGGTTCTGCATTCGGAAGGTGCGCCTTTATTTGTAGTTGTTCAGCGAGTTTATGGGAGTTTATTTTTAACGTACATCAGAGATAATCGTGTCATGGAGTTGTTAAATTGTATTTATTCCCTCAAAAAAATACACGTTTTATTTGTGTGTGGTAAGATTAAACCGAGGCAATGTGATTCAAACTGTCCGCTATACCAGACTTCATTCAAACTTTAACTAATTTAAACAACAAGTTCTGGTTCTGGTTGATTGGAAACTAAAACTGTTTAAAGCTGTTCTAGTCATTTCTTTATACATTATATGGCTCTATTCAGGTTGCAAAAATGACTCAGAAGAGATCAGACGATGACTCACAGACACATGGGTCACTGAATGAATTGTTTTTTTTTATATATATCTTAGTCATCTGGATGCAGGAAATATGTCAGACTTCCCAGACCAAACTAAGTTATTCAGAAACTGCTGCAACGATGTCTGAATTCACTGATACTGTATTCACCAATGAAATCTGTCCCCAGGCACCACATTGTTGTTTTTTGAAATTTGGCATGTGTTCAATTTCTTTTACAGCTTGGATATCCGGTCGACCGTTAAATAAACTGTCAGCCAGACCCTAAAGTTGAGCTCCAGCTCTCTTTACCCAACAGAAGATTATTATTTTTTTAAACATGTAATATTCTCAGTTCACTACATGGTCATAAACCAAAGAGCTTGGGGACATTATATTTGCTTTATTTGTGTTTTTCACAAGTTATTAGATCTTCCAGAGTATCTTTGAAAATTAACTGAGCCGAATTTTCTATCGGTGCTTCTTTTTTGCTGTTTTACGTTTAAAGTGATGTGAACTGTGAAGGAATTGTTTTTTACACAGAAAACAGCTTAAAACGCGCTAATTCTCAGGCAGGTTCTGCATTTGGAAGGTGCGCCTTTATTTCTGAGTTGTGCAGCGAGTTTATGGGAGTTTATTTTGAATGTACATCAGAGATGATCATGTCATGGAGATGCCTAAGTTGCATGTAATCTAAAAATCTAAATTCCATGTGTGTGTGTTGCGATCAAACCAAGTTATTGTGACTCAAACTGCCCAACCTGCCAGACTTCATTCAAGCGGCGACTAATTTGAAGAGTTGGAGCTCGGTCCTTCCTGAAGTAAACTGTCGTCTTCACTGTCTTTACAGGGTTGAGCTCCAAGTTGTTGTGACTGCGCCAGGTCGCCAGATGGTCCACCTCCCATCTGTAGACACACTCATCCCCACCAGATATGAGTCCAGTGACAGGGTGGTGTCATCTGCAGACCTCAGGAGCTCGATGGACTTTTGACTGGAGGTGCAGCTGTTCATGTACAACAAGAAGAGCAGAAGTAAAAAGGACACAGCGCTGATTGTTCAGGACTCAGAAACCTGTTTTCACCTGCTGTCAGACAGACAGCCAGCGATCCACCTGCAGGAGGAGTCAGCTGGGAGAGCTTGTCCTGCAGCAGAGTCGTGTCAAAAGCAGTTGAAATCCACTAAAATAACGTCTTTGTGACTCATTCAACTCAGGAGGTGATGCAAAAATCACAGTACTGGAAATCCAACCCCTGGTGCTGTAGACACCCTCCTGCCATCTAACTGAGTAACAAAGACAGGAGGCATCACGTCTGTTTGACTGCTCAGCTTCACACCGAGCGTCTGTTTCCTCTGTCATGCAGAAAACCCACGTTAAGAAGCTGCTCGACACTTTCTCACTCTGGATTTTCGTTGTCTGCTCGGCCTCTGATCAGGGTGAGTAGATGAGTTGTTCCTGCTGCTAGTTTATCCACCCGTTCACTGTCGTCACCTTCGGTGTAGTAATGACTTTTTTAGTGTTTGAACTCCACAAAGGCTTCTTTCACTTTTTTCACATCGAGAAATCCCTTGCTTGAGTTTTCATTTGTCGTTTCTGCTTTTGCTACGAATATGGACAAAAGATTANGTAGGAGACGGCAGGGTCCACTTTACCTGCAAAACACAAGCCCTCAGTGGGATTTAAGAGGCCAAAGACAGAACAGCAGAAACCAGTGCATGAAGGAGTTTGGAGTCACTTGTCGGAAGAAACGCTTGGAGGATGAAGTTTCTATATCAGTTAGTTTAAACATGTTGGTTTGTTCAATACTGTAAAACTAGAAACTATAAAACTTTTTTTTGCTTAGTTTCGTATTGTTGTGATGTGCAGGTAAATGTGGTTCAGAAAACATCACTAGTGGACTTTGAATGATCAATTTAGTTTAATCTGGGACTTTTCGTGACAGCTTCAATATTGTCCTCATATTTCAACCCATCTAAAGGCTTTTTTAAAATTTCACGGTGGGGGATCGGGAAACCCAGGTGTGGCCACAGATGAGGCAGACGGGTAGGTTAAGTGTAAAAAGGATTTAATAAACCAGGACTAAAACTGAAAATCAATACAAAAGGTGCAAACTGAACGGAGTGGAAAACAGAAGGGGGTAAACCAGACTGAATTATGAAGGGGTCAAGACTAGAAAAACCTAAGAAAACTCTCAAGTAAGAACAGAGGAGAAAACCTAAGAAATCCTAACATAAGAACTAAACTAAATCAACAAAACAAAGATACTCAGAACAATGTACAAAAACTGGAAGTGGGAAGACAGGTTTGGAGAATCTGGCATCTGGTGAGAGTTGGGAAAAAAGCTGGAACAAGGCTGGGGGCAGGCACAGGCTGGCTCAGGTGATGTGGGGAATGCGAGGCAGGCGAGGGCGGCAACAGAGAGGGGAACGTAAGGAACTTGGAGGACTGGTCTGGCAGGGTTTGGTGGACTGAAATAACCTAGACTTCCAAAGCTCTCAACAATAACTGTCAGCAGGCAGGCTGAACAGGGCTGTATGAATTGAATGTGTTACTCAAGTACACTTGTACTGAGGGGAGGCCCCAAATCAAACACTGAACCTTTCGATTCGAAAACAAGCCGGTCTGGCATGTGAACCAAAACCACAGTCGTTAACAATGACTCAACAACCGCTGCACAAGCCGTGACGTCGACAGGCCCCGCCCCCAATGGGCTCCGTGAGGACCCGACCCGAGCTTAAAACTGCAGCGCTTCTCTCAGCTGTCATTCTGATCTGAACTCCGGAAGGAGCTGAACTGTTCATCCGTCATGTTCACCAACAAGAGGAGCTTTAAGGAGCTGAATCCCACTTTGTCACTCTGGACTGTGACTCTCTGCTCAGCTTTGGTCCTCAGCGCACCACTGGACGGTAANACTTCAGGACATTTGTATCCGAAAAGTCGGAACCTACAAGCTCGGAAACGACAAAGAAATCCAGATTTATTTCAAGATCGACCTTAAAATCCGGGTTTTTTCCCTGTTATTGGCTGCAGTGTAGCTGTTTTAAACGCCTCCGACTGGCTGTATGTTGTTACTTTAAGATGAATTTTTTTGTTAACTTAATGAAGAAACTGAGCTTTAAAATGTGAAGCGACACACTGTGACCAGAAGAAGTGAGATGTTTACCAGATGGAGGTTCATGCAGCTTCAAACAGAGAGTTGATGAATGAGATTGTGCGTTTACAGAAGAGAACTTTTTATTTCAGACGCTTTTAACCAAAGCGACATTTATCTGAGAGCAGATGCAACACGAGCAAACAGCATGGTTCAAATTTTCAAAAACCCGGATGTTACGTTCAATGCAACGCTCCAGTTTGCGTATTTCTGATTGGATGATGAATATTTATATTTTTTTTATATGTTTTTATTGTGATTTAAGACTCTTCAGTGATCCAAACTATCACAACCAAGCGGAGAATCTTTTCTTCGTGACAGTTTGCAGCGCCGTCGTTATTTCCGTCTGCGATAACGAGACCCTTGAGGTCGCTCCACCCTTTCTATTTGTTTCAAAGCAGCTGAACATGAACACACCCTTCAGAGTTCCAGATAAAGAGCAGAACTAACCAACACATGAGCTGCTATTAAACCACAAGAAGTCAAAATAAAATCTCCTGAGCACCAGCAGCTGTTTAGCGAGGCACCTACCACATGTATTACACTGCATTTAGTCGTTCTTTATTGTTGTAACCTGCTTCATAATAAACTTTACACACTACTGTTTTTTTTAAATTATTATTTATTTATAAAAAACCCAGAACTTGGGCGTTTTCTACTTATTTATAAACTCATTCTGCCGCTTTTGCACTTTGAGTCACGCTGGCAGCGAAATAAACAGTCATTTGTACTCAACCAAATCGTGTTTTTCCTTCTGTTTCTTGGACGTTTCTGCCGTCATTCTCAGCTGTTTTTGGTACTGATTGAAAGTCGGCTTGAAGCGAAAACGGCAGCTGTGACTGTTTTCCTGCAGCTGTTCTCTGAATCTGCTCAAGCGATGATCTGATCTCAGCTGTTCAGGGAGATTTGTGAAGAATTCTTTATCGCTGAGCACAAACAAATCAGTTTTTATGTTGTTTTTTTTGTTCTCGGTTGATGTTACTTTATGTGAAACCTCCATAAACCTCATTGTTACTCCATGAAACACCTTCTCTGTTGGTTTGCAGAGAACTTGTTTACATCCGCTAAGATGCCTTCAGTCTATTTGGGAAAGGCCAGATGATGATGTCATGGCTTTTGATTGGTTAATTGACAACATGTGAGTTAATTGGAGGCACCTGTGGATGTATTTTAAGGC